ATTTAAAAACATAATATAATTAAGCTACAATTCGCAAAAAGCCGTGCCCGGATACTTTCTTCAGGGGAGTGTATATGCATTGGAAAATACAATTTTATTTTATTTCATATATGCAAGGGGTTTTATTAATCAACATGTGAAAAAAATAACAAAATAATATCTTTTTTTTTTTAATATTCATTAAATAATAAATAATCAACTAACTCCCATGTTAAAATTCCTAATGTTAAAAGTAAAAGTCTCTTTCTTTAAGATCATAACATTGCTAATTTTGAATTGTTTTTATCCTTACCAAAGCTCACAAATATATATATATATATTTTTTTTTAAAAAAAAAAAAAACTCCTAATAATGCTATACAATATTTTAATATTCTACTGGAAAAAAATCATCTTTTTCTTCGTCATACTTCCACTTCTTCAATTCGGTACCTACAAAATTTCATAGAAAGATTACAATTTAATTAATTATAAATTTGTAATCTGAATTGTCATCAAACATCCTTGAGAAAATTTTATCCCGTCTATATTGTAATTACCGTATGGTTTAGGCTGCAAGCAATATATTGTATGTAATGGAACTTCCATGTTCGGAACCTTTTCCTTTTCAACGTCCAAAAAATATGCCAATAAAATTCTGAGCACGACCTTATGCGTGACGATTAATATATCGTCGGTCATTCTTTCTAGCTCGACAATTAACGGATTTACTCTGTGAATAACATCTAAATAAGATTCACCACCCATTCCTGGGTAACGGAAGTAAAGTTTGTTGTTTATCCGTTCATTGTATTCTTTCGGATACTTAGCTTCAATCTCGCGATATGACATATCTTCACACTGACCCTATGATCAAATAAAAATAAGATTAATATAAATGGTAAAATCATTAATAATCAACTTCCATGTTATAATTCTTTTTTTAACCGATTTTTGCTTAATCATTTTTAAGCAATGATTCAGAGTAAAACCGACAAACGAAATTGAACAAGAAAAGAATTTTAATAGGGTTAATTTAACATATTACCGCATATATTTCGTTAAGAAATCTGATATGCTAATAATAACAATACATAAATTTTAATTTAATGAATAAAGATTTCGAAATATTTAAACAATGCTTTTGATAATCGTATACCATAACGTCAAATTCTGTTTGATCAAAATTTTCTACTGTCTCAATTGTTCTCTTCAGCATACTTGTCCAAACCAAGAAATTTCTTACTGAGGGCTCAAAAGCAGGAAGTGATGATGATGACGCTGCGTGATAATCATCCATCTGTTTTTTTCGGAAAAGCCTTTTTTGCGTATAAATAAAACGAGAAAGACATGCACCAAATTTACGGCCCCTTTCGGACAACTAAAATTGGCACGCAATTTACTGTATGTAATCAGCTTAACACAATATCAAAAATTTTTATTTCTTATAAAATTTATTACCGGCGAATCACCACCTATAAATTTAAAAAATTAAAAGGTTTACTGTTAGAAAATACAATATAAAATCGGTTTAAAGTTTATGTGATAATCACCTATTTTTCCTATTACATTATCTGTACTTTCGCCATGTCTTGAAAGCCATATTTGTCGATCTACAATTATAATTTAAATAACTCAAATAACTCAAATAAAAAAAATTTTTCCTCCACTAAAATTTAAAAATATTATTACCAGCAAGATTGAAATTCATTAAATAGAATATACATTGACCACTCAAATAACCCTGTATATTATGTGCAATAATCTAAAAATTAAAAAGTTTATAGTGGATATATATGTGTTAAAATGCCTCATAATAGTGACGGACTCAAAAAATTAAAAAAAATAAAAATAATATTACCTTTTTACCCACATTAATTAATTTACAATATTGCATATCAGCCTTTTCCTCCTCTTCACTAATAGTTTCATAGGCCTTTTCATAATTAGCGACACGTTTACGAAAATCTGACAATGCTACTTCAGGATCCATATTTTTATAATCTGGTCCTGAGAGTTTGAGACGCATGTTTGATTCCAAAACCTTGATTAAATAAAAAAAACTTTAGCAACAATGATGGATATAGAAATTGAATGCTTTTTTTACGGATAAAAGTCTGTTTGAAAATTTTTATCTTCTCGAATTTTCAATTCCATGATAATATGAAGCATGATTAAAATCCAGCAATGTACCTTCCTGTCGTCACATATTGATTCAATAAACAGTACTTTGATAGTAGGTTCACGCTGGCAGCGTTCCAATATTTTCCTTCTATAAAATTATTAAACGAATAAAATCAGTATAACAATGTTAAAAAAAATTCATTCAAATCAATATTCACCTTCTTTCCAATGTTGAATTTGTGGCATCTGATTTTATAATTAAAAAGAATCACTTAATCAAAAGAGGGTAAAGTTATGATTAATGATAAACTTCTTATATTACCATGAATTCCAATTCTGCCACCCTTATTTAGCCAATCAATCAACTCATCCAAACAATCCATTGCAAGCTGCTCTCTAACTTTCTTCGCGGATTCATTAGCAGGATCAAAGAATGAATATGAATGAGACCCGTTTTTGATTAACTGAGCAGTGTTACGACGTAAATTTCCAACATTAAAAACCTATGGATTTAAATTTGAATCAATTGATTTATTTTACAATAAAATATGACCTCTTTAACGAACGACGCGATACCTTGGTGTCATACTGTAACCATGATAAATAACGTTTAAGTTTCTTTACAATGTATGATTTTCCACGCGCAGGCAATCCAGCTGAAAGATAAAAATTATTCTTAATATATCAATAATTAATACATAAACACGGCAATATATATATATAATAATGGAATGGAATGGTACTAACTCATTACTACAACCAACTTTGATCCGATACCATGTTTTAATGGTTGTTCTATATTAGATTAAATGTTAAGCTCATTTTCGTTTTTTATTTTTTAAAAAATGCATTACCTTGCGTAAGCTTTGATGTCACGATGCCTTTTGTAGATAAAGCAAAGCATTAAAATTCAGAAGAATGGGTACTAAGAATAAATCATAAAAAGGTTGCAAACCTGGTAAGTCCAGAGAATATTTACGGCTTCTAAACAGTGGACGTTGAAAAACAGGGGACAATGGTTCAATTTCATCAGATTCTTCAACATCACTATCGTTAGAAAGATAACGTCTAACATTTGACATTTTGTCGCGAGATTTTGATGATTTTTACCGTGGGCCTTTTTATAGATATAGATTTTCAATGTGTTACCATGGCATATCTTATGATTTTATGTTTTTTTTTCATAACGCATTGGCTATCACCATCCGATAATTCAAGTTATATCATGTCATGACGTTATGAGTGTATTATTTTTCGAAATGAATCGAGTATTATAGATCAAATCAAGTAACCTTTGTCATTTAAATTAATTAATTACTAAACATATCTTTCTGTGTTCCCATCAAGGTTCCAATATTGGTCGTTGTCTTTGTTGATTGATTACCTATTGTTCCCTCGTCTTTGTTGCCTTTGATATGAACTCATTAATTGGTGTTTGGAAATTATTTTACTTCCCAACTTTTCCCATGTACTTGATCTTTTTGACGCGTAATTATGTTTGAGGCGTTTTGCTGCGCCATCGTCTCCTTTTATGGGATTAATTAAATTAAGGGTTTGACTCATCAAAAAATGTCCCCAATTCTCAAGGACACATTTCTTTATGAATCGAACACCCGGCTTTACCAGCATTGTTCATAGATCTTCCCGTCAACGTATTTGGTGTAACAACACCATCACTTTGGTTTAAAGCCATATGCTTAATTTAATTGTGGCATGAGACTAATCCTGTAACTTCGCCCAAGACGGTACATAAAAACTTCTCAGTTTCTTTCTTTTTTTTTTTTTTCTTTTTAAAAAAAAAAAGAGATTTGCTAATTATATCGACAAAAGGAAGAGTTTTAAAAAGAAAAAAAAAAAAAAAATCTTTTCCCTAAAATGTCTACAACAATAGAATCAAAATATCGTCAACTTAAAGTTCCAGAACTTAAAGACTTACTAGTGAAAAAAGGTCTGCCGGTTTCTGGTAAAAAGGAAGAGTTGGTTGCTAGACTTTTGGCTGCCGAAGATAAGAAAATTGTAGAACCAATAAGCCAAACTCCTAAAAGTAACTCGATGGCAACCAGCACCAATACTATTTCTACTCGTAAAAGTAGTATTGACAATATCATTAATAAAGTTTCGATGGAGACTACTACTTTGCATACCGAAGGAAAGAACGATGATACTGATTTATTTGATAAAGATCTTAATTTAATATCAGCGGATATTACATCTGGAATTGATAATGACTTTTGGGATAATATAACTACGGAGTGAGCTAATGTTTCAAATTATTATTAGTCCTTTCACGTTTTCCTTTTAATTTTCTATTAATTTATATATGTTCTTTTCCTTTTTATAGCATTACCATACCTAAAGATGGCGAATTCGATTCTCTCATTTCTCCATTTTCACCTTCACTTTCGGTAACTTCAATCAAAGATTTATCACCCGAAAAAGCAAAATCAGAGATTCCTGAGACAACCAAAGGGTCTAATAACGTTACTAACGTTGAAGCAAAAAATTCGGTTGAAACAACAAACGATGATGCTAAAACTTCTAAAGCAGAACCTTCTTCACCGAATTCTGATAATATTGTAAAACCATCAGGCTTTACATGTAAGAAGATCGTTTTCGATAATGCTCCAAAGATTAAATCTCCCCAACTTCCAAGTAAAGAAGCTGATTTGGCTACAGAATTGGAAAGACGAAAGAAACGTGCTGAACGGTTTGGGGTTGGTTTATCTGATTCCGATAAAAAGCTACAGAGAGCTGCTCGATTTGGTACGACCGTTTCTAATCCTTTGGATTCTCCTCTTACAGGTATTTTTATTAGCCCTAAATCCGTTTTTCATATATTATCATTTAATAAAATTTTCTTTAAAAAATGATCTACATTTTAATATTAGCACCGAGATTGCCAAACAGAAAACCAGTAAGTTTTTTTTTTTCATATATTCTAACATGTTGGTATTTAATGAAATTTATTAATGAAACGTCAATTATAGTCTATTGTAGAGAATGAAGAAAAATTAAAAAAGCGTGCGGAAAGATTTGGACTTGATATATCCGAATCATCTACAAATACTACAAATACATTAAGTGAGGAAGAAAAGAAAAGAAAGAGAGCAGAGAGATTTGGTTTAGTAAGTTTTAACAACAATTATTTGCCTAATAAGTTTATTATTGTTTCCAATTTGCTTACACGAATCAATAATATTCAATTCTTAAATATTTTGTTTCAAGAATGCTTCACCAAATTCTGTATCTAATTCAATTAATGAAGAAGATAAAAAGAAAAGAAGAGCAGAACGTTTATCTATTAACGTAAATATAATTTTAATCCCGACGGTTTTTTTACTGGATTAATTGTTTATCCATTAACTCATGTTTTTCTTTTTTTTTAAATAAAAAATATATATATAAAGACAAGCGGTGAACCTACGAATAAGAAAGTGAAGACCTAATAATAAAAGGTTTCGATCGATAGGATGCTTGACATATAAATCGGGTAACGTTCAATTTTTGTTTCAGAGAATATATTAACTCCTTTTTTCCCTTGATATAAATATATTTGCAGGTTGGACCGACTTTAAATTGCAATGTATTTTTTATCAATTAGTTTTAATTGCAGTTTTTCTCCCCTTCATTTTTAATGCTATATTTTGCCATTGTCCAATTGTATTGGCCAAGATGGAGCAAAATATTTTAATTTACCTGGTTTGTCTATATATGGGGTTACAAATTAAATACCGCTTTTAATATACAAAAACATCAATTTTTTTTTCTCTGTGATTAGACCCATTTTTGATATAAACTGGATAAAAGTGTCACACTTTTCCTCAAATAAATTAAAAAATTTTATAATCCTAAAATGAATGTAATTAATTATACAAGTAACCAATTTTTAATTTTAATTGACAATTATTGAATTTTTATGACAATAATCCGGCAATCAAATGTTCAAAACCAATTCTGCGGAACTAAAATTATGCGTCTAACTTGATTCCTTGTTCTAATTATTTAAATTATAATTTTTCATAGTCCAATTTGGATTCTAATTTCTTTGCGTCTGCAACCTTTCTAACTGCTTTCATAAAATCTTCTTGAAGAACATAGTCTCGTTCTTCACGAATTGCAAACATACCTTAAAGAAAAGAAAAGAAATTTGTTGATTAAATTTTAAATCTTTTTTAAAGTTTGAAAAAATATAGATATATGAATATATAAAACAAACCCGCTTCTGTGCAAACGTTACGTAAATCTGCACCATTAAACCCATCAGATAATTTTACAATAGCTTCATAATCTAATATTTGTTAAATGTTTGATTAATACTGTTATTATTGAACTACAATAAATTTATTTTAAAATGACAAAAAGATTGAAAAATTATTTACCAATATCGCCATGTTTTGTAATAGGTGCTGAATGAATTTTCAAGATTTCAAGGCGACCTTGTTCATTAGGTAATGGAATCTCTATTTTTCGATCCAATCTTCCAGGTCGCAACAGAGCTGGGTCCAACGTGTCGGGTCGATTTGTGGCCATAATTAATTTGGTTTGTCCTAAATAGTCAAATCCGTCCATTTGATTGAGAAGCTAAAAAGTCCAGACAAGTTTATCATCAAGGAATACAATAAAATGCTTCCAATATAATATTAATCATTACCTCCATTAAAGTCCTTTGAATCTCTCGATCGGCACTTGTACCTTCGGAAAAACGCCTTCCTCCAATTGCATCAATTTCGTCCATGAAAATAATGCAAGGCTCGTGATCCTTGGCATATCCGAACATTTCCCTAATTAATCGTGCACTCTCCCCAATATATTTATCTACAATAGCACTTGAAACAACTTTCAAGAAATTCGTTTCAAGTGTACTAGCGACAGCACGGGCAAGAAGAGTTTTGCCAGTACCTGGAGGTCCATACAAGAGGACTCCCTTTGGTGGTTTAATACCAACACGAAGGAAAAGTTCCGGGTTCATCAGAGGTAACTCTATAACCTATGTCATTCATTAACATAAGTTAGCTAACCTTTTCTTGGGATAATTAACACTATTACGATCTTTAAAATAAAGAATACCTCTCGAAGTTCACGGATTTGTTCACCAAGTCCACCGATTCCAGCAAAATTCACCTTACCCGGATCTTCTAAACTCATATTATATACTAAAGGATCGACCTCTCTTGGTAACATTCGCATAATTGTTAAAGTTGTCATATCTAAAGCAACTCTTGTGCCTTGTTTAAGTTTTTCTTTGTTTACTTTGTTACGACAACCTACCACATAACGTGGACCAGAAGATGCTTTCACAATAACTATGCATGTGTAATGAATATATATAAAAAGATAGATATGTATTGATTCAAAATAAAAGAAATTATAGAGAGTAATGTTGAAATGACATACATCGTTCTTCATCTAATTGTTTTAACACTTCGCCTATGATCTGACCAACGCTTTGTAAAGCTTTGATATCTTCTTCTGTTTTGTCATATTGCTTTTCAAGATCGCGAAGACCAAGACGAACTGTATATATTATATATATAAATAAAAAGAAGGAAAGATTTATAAGTTTGAATTTGATTTTCTTTTTGAAAATTGAACTTTATTGTATATCTATTCCTCGAGTAAATTTACACGAATTGTATTTTCGAACGTTAATCAATCTGTGATTAATCTATGTAAATATTCAAAATAAACTGGTTTTATTTTGAAATCGTTATTTTATATATAACTCATTCTACGGCTTATATAACATTCATTGTCGCTCACATTCTTTAACTTTTGCTTCTATTTCGCGATGCTCTAACAATTTCTTTTTGTAATCTTGTAAAGCTTTCTTGCGCCTGTCCGGATCTAACGAAGAAGAGCTCGTTGCCATTTTCGACTATAGAAAAATCGAGGAGAACGTTTTCACAAATCTGATCGAGGAGGTTCGGAGAATTTTTTAACGAAAATGACCCTGAAAAAATTTTAAGTTTTTTGATGTGTAACTGCTGACGCATTTATGTGAACTTCTACGCAAGTAATTGGCTATTTAGTTGTTCTGTAATGCAGATCCAACGTGATAAAATTTTAACTTGGCACATTTCACAAACATTGAAAAAAATTAGCTTAAATATAAAAAAACGTTCCTTTTAATTAAGGAATTAAATTTCTTTCGGTTTAATAATTTGGTTAATAAAAATATATGCCCTTGCCACGGCTTACTTGCCTACCCTTTTCCTAGTTCCTTCGATTATCAATTCATTCGTATCTTTGTGGCAGTCAGAGGAACAAAAACACCCACATTTTTTCACCTTCCATCATGGGTAATTTAAGTTCTTCCTTGGAAGAACATCCAACTCTGTACGTAAGGAATTCCAATCGATGTGAGTGTTATAGTCACTTGCTACGTTTATTCATACTTTTTAGTATTATAAAATGAATGCGTGACTGGCTTTTATTATTTTGTTTATAATAAGTTATCCAAGATAGTTCCTTTTTGTTCACCTTTGCATTTGGTTCAACTTGGCCCTCGTGAAGTTCATATTACAGAGATCGTAGTATCAAATTCTGCCCATACCCCATACGTAACGTTTCCAATCACATCAAATGGTATTTCCGCCATCCCAAACACCACAGATCTCCTGGAATTTATTCAGGACCCTAACGCCCAATCAATCAATCCAAGTAAAATTTTACTTAAACTCGGAAAGGATAAAAAACTAGAAATGAAATTTAAGTTTAATATTGGTAAAACTGATGGAAGTAAAGCTGATGTGAAAGGTCTCACGTTTATCAATGTTGCCAGTGAAAGAGAGTTGGCAAGGATATTAACGGTCGAGTTCAACGATGATCCTAATGTAAGCTAATATAATTTTTAGTAAATATTTGAATGATAAGCTAAGTGCATATTAATAACTCTTATATGTCAAAGAGCAGAAATGAAAGGGCATAAATAGTTATACTAATACATAATATATGACAAATATCATCATAACGTCTTAATCATATTTAAGTGAAAATTGGGATGATATTTGTAAATTTTCTTATTCTATTTTGTCATTTGATTTTACTTATAAGACCTTGAATCTTTTTTCCACTAAAAAAAAAAGCTCCATAAACATCCAAACGTTACACTTGTCGGAAATTACAAGTCGGATGGAATAAAAACATCCGAAAATGAGTGGACATGGAAATGGTCTCCACCACACAACATGGATGAGGTTCATCGGGGTTGGAGAAATCATTGTTGTGTAAGTTTTTTATACTCATTTACTATAATGGATTAAAATTAGATGATTAAATTTAATCTCGTCATTTTAATTTCTTTAGTTTGCCGAATATGATGCAAAGGATAATACTTTTACTTTGT